GAACATTGGAGACTGCCACTTTTTCAAGGCTTCACATGATGGCTAATCTTCAGCAATTGCTGAGGGATATGCTCTTCCTCAATGCCATCTCATTGCCTCATACTAAGTAGGGCTGTTTTACAAGTGCGCTGATAACCACTGCACGGCTGAGGTCACTCAGGCACTCTAGGTATCCGTGACTGTAAACGTAGAAGTGTGATTGGACTCATGCACTGACAGTCTTCTCACTAAAGCTCGATAGGCAAGCCTGCGGGGACTTTAGGTTTCCGACAATTTGCGCATATAAAAATTGACAAAACGCAGGCCTTCCTTAACCCACAAGGTATTGTGAACTACCGAGCAGCAGATCGCAGTAAACACTCACTTACTTTTAATCCTTTGATGCCGCGGAGGAGGAAATGGAATATTTTTATTTCCAAAAAAATATTAAAGCATTTTTTGTGAGTTTTTCTCCACGTAAGAAGTTTTCCAAAGCTTGTGAATACCCAGTTGTCATTACCTCCTGACATTTTTTTCTTATCAGTCAAGATTTTCATATACTACTAATGGGGGTTAAGTAGTAAATGCTGAATGCACCAACTCAAAATAATAAGGAAGTGACACTTTTTAGAGAAAAAAAGTTAGAGCAGTACTATGTAAAACAGGTTCACTTTTTCTCACTGTCTATGAATTTTAAAATACAGCTTTTTTACTTTAGGGTTTTCCTAATTCGAAAGATTGCAGAAGTTTTGACCTCAAAGAAGCTGTAAAAATTAATCGTTTCAAGATGGAATGTATATCTTCCTTACTTATCAGAAAGCAATGCAGCTGCTGCACCTGCAAACTTTTCCTTTTACTCCCTACAATCTAGAGGAAGTTCATAAGGATGTTCCTCTTCTCAAATCACGCCTTGACATTCGACCGATAACCTTTAAGTAGTGGAAACTTTGAAATCTTTCACAATTATTGAGACAAAGGAAAAAAGTAACCTCTTTCGTGAAGGAAGATTTGCAACTCCGACTACTTCTTCACACAGCTCATGACTTAAGAGATGCCTCCTTCGATAAATGCATTACAAAACTCCAATGGGTGCCTAAATTAAAGTAGACAAATTCAACTTCTTTTGGTAGAAAAAATGAACTAATTTTATGCAAAGGTGAATATACTGCTGGTGGGAGGCCAGATTGCTTAGCTAATGATCTCACAAGATGAGTAGATCAAAGAGTATTAGGCCCATTAATGACCACTATGGTGGCAGCCTGCTCCTGACATGCCGTTAAATCCTCTTCGTGCCCTTCTAAGGCCTCCAATTTGTCATTCGACGCCTCCAAAAATGTGGTTATGGTTTAATAGACCTCCTGCTACTTGTAAATTCCACCGACGGAAGAGGGGGAACCTCCAGAGAAGCGATTGTATTGTGCTTGCTTATCAGGGTGAAATTCATTGCCTCAAACTCCCTGGGTATAAGGCAGAGGGAACGATGTATCAGACAAAAGACTTTTCCGCTGCTCCAGACCCCCAAAGTACAATATCGTGTTTGCTTCGATAAGGACTCGACAACATTCATGATGTGGAATCCTAATCGTGTTTTGATTTGCTTTCCACTCATTTAAGTTATTTTTGAACACTTTCCCCTTTTACTCATGCAAATGGGTGAGTGTCGAGGTGAGGACGGAGGGAGGCTGATTAAAACCTTGTTGATGGAAGCAAATAAGACCCAGTCATGCATGCTGTAGGGAATCCGCAATCAAAATAAACCTAACTTAAGGGAGAAGATGAAAAAGTGTTTGCCTTAATGAGGTTTTGAGATTGGTCGACAGTGTGTGCTACGGAGAGGGACCGCGATGTCTCAAAGCTAAGAATGAATGTACATATAGGATTAAGGATGAGGTGCACATCCTGATTCACCCTAGCAACGGGTTTGTGGGTGTTAATCCACTGCTTTGCCACAACTCTTTTGTGAGTAAACACACATTAACCCATGAGGTATTGCGAATTACCAAGCAGCAAAACGCAGTAAGCACTCGTTTACTTTAAGAGTATTTTCCAAAAGCAAGATAAAATAC